CAAAGCTACACAGGGCTATCTGCACTAGCCGTCCCTAATTTAGCAATGTAAGACTAGATGGAAGGCAGCTAGTCATCACCACCCACCGCCAACTCTTGGGCTATTCTTTTACCAACAAATAGTGGGATTGACCATCACATTATAATGCCCCCACAGCTGAAAGGGCGAGCATGTTTGGTGGGACAGGGATTTGAACCCGCGACTCTCAGATTGCGAGTCGAGTGCCCTAACCACCTGGCCATGTGATATTACTTTATAAATATTTTGTTGTCTGAGTGCATACTGGAGGGATTTACACATTTTGATAAAAAGTTTAGAAAAAGCAACCTTTATACTCATTTATACTTTTTCACTTTAGCCAACTTTTCACCTTTGATGAAGCTGCAAAGGCAAAATGTTGGTTAAAATAAAAAAAGTTCTTTTATAAATATCTGGAATAAAAAGGTCATTTTTTCTAATCTTTATAAATACATATAAAATTGGAAAAATAACTATTAAGATAGCAAAGCATTTTAATAACATCACATAAATCAGATCATATTCAACATGCAACAAGGACTGCCTTAAATGCATACCAAATGTTGGTATTATAATTGATTAAAAATAAAAATGACAACACAGGTCTAAATGAAGTCAGGGACAATGCTAGCTCATTAGAGGAACTAATCAGGAATGTTTTTGGACCCCTTACTCACTCCCTAAATAAATACTAATTGCAATATTTCCACAAACCAAAACTATACAAATACAACACATACTAATACACTAGTAAGATAGTCATTTCTACTCATACACTAACATCACTGCACTGGCATCTTTCTCAAATCATGCACACTGTACTTAGCAACCAATCAGCACTTGAACACTATCCATTTGCATGACTGAGAAGTGTTTTGCAATTTTTAAATGTCCATCCATTACGGAGTGATGCATTTTGGTATCACTATCTTTGAAAATGCCTTTTCATTTCAAACGAGTACACTATTAAAACAGGCAAAAGCCAAAGTTCTGATGAAAAAAAACCTTGAATCAGGGGCTCCCTTAAGCTGCTTGGAGCCCTAAGCAATTGCTAGTCTTTTTATGCCTAGCATTGCCACTGGAAAAGGTTAAAGGGCAAAAAATATATTTTTATATTCATTGTATTTTTAGCTTTAAATTTGGGTAAACTAAGATTTTTTGTTTTGACCATTTGGTGAAGTTTATCTTAAATAACAACATACAGTATGTATCTCTTTTATACCAGATTTCTTTATCACAATATTTTATATTTTGTTATTTTACAAACTTGAATTTTGTTTCCTTAGTTTAAAAGCTCTGAACATATTTTAACAGTGGAGGCTTTTTAGAGTAATAAAATGGACTAGAGAGTAATTTTCAGTACCAATATTTTTGTCAGAAGTTCTATTACATATATATTTTATGATACACGATCAAAATACAGGATAAACAAATAATTACATAAATGGAAGTGATCAGTATCTGCATTTGCAATATGTGTGTTTCATCATAAAAGTGCAGATTTCAGGCTTTTATCCTTACAAATCATTGCTCATTATCAGAGTCCTCAGAACCAGGGTTGCTGTAGCACCCCCACTTTTACATATTTGACTTATATAGCAACTGTAAGTTATATTATTATATTAACTTTCTGGGAGGCATGCCCCCAGACCCTCTAGATTGGGCTGCCTTTGGCAGCATGGGAGCTGCTTTTGGAAGTGCCTTATACTTTCAATCTCTCATTGTAAAATCTGCATGTCTAGCCAAGCAACCCCACTTTGCAACTCCTTCCTACACCACTGATTATTTACCCAGAAAAATACTAGAGTAGTACTGCTATTTATATATTAATTTGAAGCTTTAAAAATGTAATTTATGATTAAAAATATTAAATATTTTTTTATTTTTCGATAATATAATACCTTGCATAAAATATTAAGTTGCTAAAATTGAAAAATTACATGGTACTTAGACACAGATTTTAGGTATAAAAATGTGTTAGGGTTTTATATATGTGGGCTTGGATTCTTTTACAGTAGGTGTCTGTGACTTGTTGGTTATAAATTCAAACAATAGATGGACTGCACACAATCCACTTATTTCAAGATAATATATGCATTCAAAACAAGTCAAACGTATGTACAAAAATTCTTTACATGATAGGATATCACAGTTGTATCTAAAACTTTAAATAAATCTCTTTTCTTGTCAAAAGTCACACAGAATGATTCGATTACTTTAGAATCCAATTAACAAGATGAATTATTTTTCTCTACTCTGTTTCTTACTACACAATCTGCAATAAATTCATTTACATTACCCCCATGGGTTACCACAGTTGTATCCATAACTTTAAATAATTGTCTCCTTTTTGTTAAAGTCCACACATACGGGTTCAATTATTTTAGAACCCAATTGACAAGACAAATAATTTTTCCTATCTCTGTTGTTACAACTGTGAAACACAGTATAGAAATCACCTGTTAAGACTAATCATTCACCCACCAGCTAAAATCACGTTTTCTTTTCATTAACTAACTTTTTTCTATCTTCCTTAACTTGCTGTATCTGCACATAGTAATAACACACAACAGAAAAATCTAGAACTATCTAGCCCTCTAGTAGCAACAATATTACACATAACTAGAAAAATTTGGAAGCTTTGAGTAAGATGAAGTCAACAATATTACTGAAGCTAGTACAACAATCAAATTGCATACACAATGTATGACTAATACCAAGTTATATAACTTGTCACAACCATCACTTTTAAGATAATCAACTGTTAACACTTGTTATGAAAACTAAATAATCATGAAATATTAAATACTAAATAAATCAAATAATAACTCTTAAACAAAACAGTCTTGTATATCCAACAAAATGACTAAAACTTTGAAACTTCTATGTTTTTTCTCCCTAAGAATAGATTTTGTTTTTATTTTTCACTTTTCTTTACTAAGCTATAGGAGTGAATTGTTGTGCAAAGCTATAGGAGTGAATTGTTGTGCAAAGCCACTTATATAACTCATAGGAAAAATGGAGTAGAAACAATTATTTTCTGTATATTTAGCTTAACTATACTTTGTTTCTAATGTTTGTTTTATGCATATATCAAATAAAAAAATAATACAAATGTTTCTTCAAAAACAGTTTTTTATACCCTCTTTTTTGTTTCAAAATATTTATTTCTTTGAAATGAAGTACCACTTCAGTAAGACCTTTTAACTTTAGCTCATGTACATTAGTGGTACAAAGCTAAATACTGATCATCAGAAGCAGCAAATAATAATACAGTTTCACATTAGAATAGATACTGGGAAGAATAAACTTCCACTTACCTTTTTCCGCTGAGCAGGAGGTATAATAAAGTATGTTTTAATATTGTGTTCCCGCAAGTAGATGTTCCTGTCTGCCCCATGACCAAGTTCAACTTCATACTCTCCATGAAGAAAATCTAGTGTAGCTTGGGTGATGTGGACTCTCCTACAAACATCCAAAACTATGTATATTCTCTAATCCCAGTACTTCCTTAGAGAGCACAGTTCATGATAGAACAACCACAAACTTTAATACTTCATTAGGTTGAGTTTTACTCACATAGTGTAGATAGCAAAGTAATGAACAGAGAAATATGGTGTTACTGATACATCTGAAAAACACAATTCCAGACTGATGACTACTTGAAGTTGGTGAAATATGCAAAATATTAGGTGCATCATTGTAGGCCTACTGTAAGATTTAATCATTACAAAATCCTTATAGAAACTATTTAACTGTACGTTCATAATTGAGATGCTCGGATAAACAGCTGCAAATAAGATGAGAATTTAATGACCAGGTTCACCCAAAAATTATATTAAGAAATTTATAAAAAACATTTAATATGTTATGCTTACAGTACCAATACATTTCCCTTTTCACTTCTTATCTAATTTAATTGAATTACTTCAAACGTAAGAAATAACACATGTTGAGGGTAAGTACATGTATCTTTGAATGCTAGTTGTTAGAAGAAACATGTGTATTAAGTACTTAGCATATTTAATTTTTTCTCAATATGTTTGTGTTTTATAAATATTTGTACTTACTTTTAAATATAAAAAGTATATATTGCTAGGAATGCAAAACTAGTAAATGTGAATTGCAAAATGTTTTTTATGTTTGTAATACATTGTAAAATGTTGGATATTTAACTGACATTCACATCAAATGAACTTATTTATAAGATTTTTTGAAAGTTATTATAACATTCATACAAATAATACTATACTTCATTATTAAAAGCATTTTATGAACAACAGCAAAATATTTTTCATGAATTATAGCTAAAAATATATTTTTTCATGAATTGTAGTTGTCTGAGACTATCTGAAAAGTAGTAAACAGTCTTTCTCTTGTTAAGCTCTATATTGTAACACTTGTTTTGATTTTCATTACATTTGTTATATTCTCAGGTATTTAACTTTATACAAACATTATTTATGCAGTAAAAGTAAATGAGCAACTCACTGCTGTATAAACGATAATGTTATAAGGCAAAGATAAAAGACAAGAAAGGTGTTGAAATGAATCTTTATAGAAACTATATAATTATAAACTCGTATTTTAGAAACTCCAATAAAAACAGCATTTCTAGCTTGTGATAATATGAGTAGATATGAAAAATTTTCATTTGCAAGAGTGCATCTTACACACCATGACAGATCAATAAACTCTGACATAAAATAGAACAGTGGATAGTAGAAAACATGAGGCACCCGCAGAAAGGGGCAAGATGGGACATTTCATAAAAAATTGCACGTATTATGATGTGAACTTAATATCTTAGTTAACCTATATATTTTTAGTGATTTTTATTAAAACTGTAAATCTTTGTTTGCACATAAGCATTCATAACACATATTCTTTTAGTTTGTGAACTTACATTGTAAAAGTTGATCTCCTACATACATGTTTTGCCCCCCTTGAAAATATTTCTGTGAGTGCCCGTGGTAGAAAAGTAAATAATTATAAATTATAAAGAAACGTTTGACCAAAACAGTTTATACTTAACAAATACATTTATTTAACACATGTAGACCTATTTTACTGTTACAAGACTATTAAAAATTAACCAGAGTCTCAATGACACAGTAATACTCAGAATCTTCTTTCATTTTACAAGTAGGTATCTATAATTACTTATAGAATCTTGATTAATAATATGGAGCAGTAGATTTCAAAAGAGTAATGTATGTGTGAAAAATCTGCCTTCAAACTTAAATACTGAAATTCATAATACAAAAAGGTTTAAACTTCAAAAACAATTTGTGCAGCATCAATTGTATGCAGGATAATACTTTTCTCTGATGAAAGTACATGGAAGCACAACTCACCCAGGCTCACCACCTGCCTCCATGCTGTTGGCCAATGTTACATCATTGCTCCACACATCATACTGCCACTTGTGCAGGCCCAGAACTCCACAGAGCACCCTTCCAGTATGAATACCTACTCTCATGTTCAATTGTACATCTGTGGTTTCCACTACTGACCTGAAATGTAAGATATCATTAAAGCAAAATGTAAAAACATAGAACTAATACTACTATGAAGTTAAAACGATAATGATTCATCGAACATATAACTATGTTCTAGAAGTAAATATTATCATTGATACAACTCCACTTCTAAGTTCGTCACTGCCATAAGCAGTTCAAAATATCTATCTATACCATCATTTTGATCATTACAGAAATTGTCATCCATTTTCTACCTTCAGATTCTAATACAGAATGTTTTGAAATTTCTTACTTATGCAGGTGTATGTGCACTTTTACGTAACACATGGTCAAGAAAGTTGTTAATTTACAACTGCTCTATCTACCTATTGTTCTGTTTCATTCTCCCAGAGATAACATCTGGTCTGTTCATGAAAGGGAAATAGCTGTAAAGCAGACAGCAGTTTTCTGCAACAGTAGATCAGGTAATAGCTCGAAGTAACCCATTCTCTTATTTTTAAATGGCACTGAGCAGTCATGTGAGTTGTACTAGTCACTCTGGGTAAGTCTGATGTTACTGTTTTAACTAAGCAATATAAGATTTAATTAGCTTGAGACAAGACCTCAACCAAGATATTCTGGAAAGAAAGTAGTCTATGTCCAGTAAAAGTGCCCTTCTAACATTTCAAGCATTTAAACACATTGTGTATGTGTTTGGATAAAGATTCTTCATTATATTTGTGTACAATTGTGTCCACTCTATATTTCTTTCTCACAAACTCGTTTAATCAGAGGACTCAGAATTACTTTGTAATTAATATGTTGGTAGAATCTCCTGTTATTCAGTGAACTTATTTTGTCACTCTAAGGGAAATCAGGTTGACCTGAAAATACCACATCCACATAAAAACACTTTTCCTTCTACAAATTCAACTACAATACTATCACTACAAGAATATCACAACATTTTTTTTACAAAACAAAATAGCAATTTTAGGATAAGAGAAAGTTTTTAAAAAGCATGCTGATGTAATCATTCTTAAACTCTTTACATTTAACAAATGTTTCCAAACTGCTTTCTTTTTCTTGGTATTTTACATACTGCTTAAGTATAAAACTATAGTTATAAAGTGGTAGATTCAAAGTTAAATAATATCTCCAGTAGATTAAGCTTTAAGTTTCTTAATGTTCAGATCAATATATTTTAACTTTCTTGAAAGGGGGCCAAAGGCTGCCTGGAAGTGGTTCACATGTTTTAACCACTCACACCACTGTACAGTAGTGTATTATCTGTCAGTCAGTCAGTAAACACTAAATGACGTCACACAAGGGAGGCTTAATGTTGTAATTTGTACTGTCGCAACATCAGTAAAACATGCACATGCCATCAATCACGAGGAGAATTATGCACTCTGTAGGCTACAACACAGCAAGACATATGAACTTCAAAAGCAAGAAATACAAATATTTGTTACTCTTAATTTTGGTCTTATTCACTCTTGAAATATACCGCTTTCAGGGACCACATACAAATACATGTAGTTTACAGCTAAGTAAGAGACTTTAACACCTCTTCAAAAGATACATTTGAAAACAAAATTCTATTAAATGTACAAAAAGATGCTTCTATGCTTTCTAAGACACTGCAATTAACACAAATGATAATAAAAATTAAATCTTCAAAGACTGGAAAAATCAAATAAACCCTTCATGTTTACAGTTCACTGAATTGTCAATAGATGAGCTGGATTTTATGACCAGATTTTATTTGGTATAAACTACAAGTTTTTGCCATCTTCAAATGTTTTCTTGTTGTTATTGATAACATCCCCACACAGTTTTCTCAGCAATTACTTACTGATTTTAATTGTCTGTCCCATTATATAAGAATATCACTGATTACCAGGTGTACATAATGGCTGTCATGTAATGATTTTTTTAATTGTCTATATTATTTAACTACAACTCAGAGAACTGTACTTGAAACCAACAGATACAGTGAGCAATACTGCTATTGGTAAATTTCTATGTCATTAATCTACTCAGATCAAAAATGGCAAGCAATTATGGTGGCATTATGGAAATAAATGGTTACGAATAACAAAATATCCTATGTTACATTTGATTTATTCAATCTTATTGTTGCAACTGATGCTGCAAAATTTTTATACTTTGGAGACTAATTATTTAAATTTACTTGAACAACACAAAAGAAGTGTTGACATTCACTGCAGAAAGAGGTTTTGTTATAGCTACCAGTCTATCTATGACTTAATTTATCCCCCAGGTAATTTATTTGTAAAGATCAGAGCAGAGGCATCACTAGGCACTGGCACAAGTGACCCATGGTCCCCAGTTAGTGTCTTGAAAAATCTTGAAATGATCAATATCATACTGAAATGCTGAAAATTCCCATGCCTATGAGCAGGAGCCTCAACCTTTTTAGCCCCTAGCAACGCCTCTGGATCAGAGCCTCATAAAGGTTATACTTTGTAGATTTTAATTACCTACTACTGCCATACACTTTTCTTGAAATTTTATACAGTAAAAACAAACTATATATCTGTAGTTAATGCTTTATTCAAAAAACAGTAAAATAAACTTAACTCTGGTGACATTAAAATGTGAACTAGTTGTATCTAATAAATTGGCTCCGAGTTCTCAAAGGAAAAACCTAAAAACTAATGTTAAACAAAACAATATCTATTGTGTAAATTATATATATATATATATAGTAGAAATGTCTGATATGAGTATTAAAAACTTTTATTTAAAACACAAAACAAGTGACAACATTTTGACCTCCTTAGGTCATCATCAGGTTAGGAATGACATTTGAAAATGTGACAATGATTGATCAAGTGTTCCTTGGTGCTGGTTCAATGTGGATTTAAGTACTTGTAGTGGAAGATCTTTAGTTTTTCACCTTCCAATACAACAACTTAAACCCACATTGAACCAGCACCCTGGAACACTTCTATATGTATACTAATTATTTCCATAAATGTTAACTATATATATAATAGATTAAATATATACAACACCCCTACAATCTTATACCTATTATAACTGTCATCCCCATGACACACGATCGATAACAGTCACTTTTTCAAACGTCATATCCAACCTAAGGATGACCTAAGAAGGTTGAAACATTGTTACTTGTTTTGTGTTTTAAATATCCATATCAGCCATCTATACTACACATATATACTTCAAGCGGGTTCCTCATTATCATGAAATATTATCTAGTCAGAAACACATATGCTTTTCAAATATCCTAGTGAATAAATGTTGCTAAGTTTGCAAGAAACAGAGCACATTACATACTTATGAAAATGGAAATCACCCACTGATGTGAAACCAACAGAAACAGTTTCAATTAGATTACATTAAGAATTTCCTAAAATGATGAACTGACTAACAAAAATAACATAATTTTGAATATAGGACACTGAAGAGTTAGAATACATTTTACAAAATAAAATATATATATTTAAATAGCTGTTATTGCTGAACCATAAGCTCAAGTTACAATGAAAGATATTGTAGAAATAAGTTATATTTACGCAATAGCATCTATCATGTCCAAACCCATCTCCACAGCACAACGAGCATGATCCGCACAAGCTTCTGGAAGTCCACTAACACAATAATAACAGTCTCCAAGAATTTTGATCCGAAGACAATTATTATCCTGAAATGCAAATAATAGAAAAAAAGCATAATCCTTCTCTTCTTCTACACATATTGTCTCATTTAATGATGAAAAGTTATTTAATTGCCAACTGATGCTGAAACAAAATGATTTTGTTGCAGTGTTAAACATTTGACACATTTACAACATCGTCTAACACTCAGAAGTGTGATCAATCTTTGGTAAAACTATTTAATGCATTTGTTCATTTAAAATCTTCATATATTCTGTAGAACATATCATACTGTAAATATGTCTATATTTACTGAAATTAAAATCAATAATTTGCAATATATCTAAGAATTTGATTTCTATTAGCAATTATAGACTCTACTCACAGTATAATGTCAATTGACAATAACCATTAAGTCACAAATAGATCAACCTTGGATACTGTGCTACAAACCAGAGTGTTTTAGTGTTTAAATATAACAGCTTATCTAAAGTTAGTTTCCAAAAGACAGCTGGAGCTGAACCAAAATGCTTAGCCACCAATCTTTAAATTACAGTAACAACATTGGTAAGTTTATTTCTGGTTATGTTTATCTAAGAATACAAACAAACCACTTCAATGTGTTTAGAGTTTATAGGAGTCTTTACAAAGAACACATGCTGAGTTAATATAAATAAAGCTGCTGATTCATGCAGCCAAATCAAAATAGAAAGTACTGGACAGATGAGGGCATTAACCTAGGTAATTCAGCATAAGCAGGCAAATTACTGGTTCAAATGTTGTTTAAAAAGAAAAGAAAAATAAAGCGTTTTTCTGTTGTTAATTGTCAACAAATTAAGTTACTACTTTATCATTTACTGATTAATACAAGATTTTTTTTATTTATCATTTATTCATCCATACAAGTCTTTTTCATAACTATTAAATTTTAAGAATTGTAACAGCAAATTATCTAATGAGCTGGGTTATAGTAATTTTTTAAAGTGACATAAAATATGAATCTCTAAATTACAAATTAATGTTTTCACTTCCATATTTAAGAAAACATATGCATGATAAATTTTCAGAAAAATGCAAAATTAATGAATCATAGAACTAAACATAATACATTCAAGCTATTTATGTGATAGAATATGCCAGCTTATTTATGTTTATCATCAATACTTACATTTGCTAATTGGTCAAACCTTCCAAACAACTCATTCAACAATCTAACTAGTTCCTGAGCAGTACACTGAGAGGCCAACACTGTGAATCCAACAATATCAGCAAAAAGAATACTGGAAAATATACATACTTATAAATATTCTTAATTATACTTCAAACTGCTGAATAACTGTTTCAACTGTTTAAATATTAAAATAAAAATATATAGTAGTGATCCTTGGTTCTTAAAGTTAAATAGTAGGTTGGGGCAGGAAGTAAGGGAATAGTAAAGTTAAGGAGGTTCTTGAAGGATAATACTGGTTTACTAAGGTACAAAACAGTAGGTTTAGTTAAGGCTAAAAATTATGCTCTTTGGCTGCAGTGGATAACAATATCAAATAGCTTTAAATCTCTAATTGTTATCAAAAGATAAAACGGGGAAAATCACGAAATATTTGTAGTGTGATTTTCATGTTAAGATTAAAAATAGTTTTTTCAAATTTCATTTGTGTAATCTTTCTTCCTATCAAAAATCTCAAATGTCATTTGCGTACTCTCTAAAACCTCCTAAATATATTTCAAACGTTTTTGTTTTTTCAGTAAAACTTTATATTTTATCCGTTATTTTAGCTTTAAATCTCTGATTCTTATCAAAGGATAAAAAGGGGGAAATCATGAAATATTTGTATTGTGGTATTCTCAAATTATAAAAGCATAAATAGATTCTTTTGTAGTGGAGCACACAGAAAAAGTATACCAGTATTTCTAATATAACTAATTAGTATAACTAATCTAACCTAGCACAAAAAAGGTTTTGAGATCTATTTACAAAAATTCTGATTTCTGGAATAGGAAGGTTACTGTCATTTTGTAAAAAAAACTTTAGTGAACCTTCATTTAGAGTAAGGTGTTCAGTTTAAATCTTCTTATTGTAGAAAATATACTGATTTTCTCAACAAAGTTCAAAGATGGGGAAAACAATGGTTTCTGGTTTGAAACATTTAGTTTACAAAAAAGAGGCTAATAAATTTGAACTTGTTTGGGACGAACAATACTGAGGAAGGGGCAGTGTTAAGACAGCGGAAGTCGAGTGACGCTGGGAGCATGCGCGCTGGTGTTTCTAGAATTATCGGAGAACATCGCGAATGTCCGAGTGTTTGCTAGACGCTCTCTTTTTTTAGTATATAAGCCTGGCGAGAAAAACCAGCGCAACTGCATAGATAGAAAGATCGAAGAGATACATTGAGAGATAGAGATAATTGAGTCAAGCATACAGTAGGCACCCTAAGTAAAGTGTGTGAATCACTGTGAGTTATAGCGTGTATTATAAAGATTGTTAAGTTTAAAGTGACTGTGGACATTCTGTATATTACTAAAAGTTGTATCGGGAAAGAATAAACTGGTTTAATCAATAAAAGACTTGTATCGCTGAAGTTCCTCGGAAATAATTTCTACCGGAAATTAACAAACAGACAAATACACAACAGGAGGTTTGTTTGTACATTAGAAGAATAAAAGTTGGGAATAAAATCCTAAATATTACTGGCACTGGGTATAAATTATTGCAGCCCAGATCCAAGTTGGTTATTAGAGCTATTTTTTTTCCCCGTTAGAATTGTTAATGTAAAAATTATTTGTCATATGAATGATGTGCATAAGGCCTGTGTATTCTCGAATAGAGGACTTAATTAACCTTTCTTCGAAAATGATAAATATATTATAAAATAATAAAATCATTTAAAGTTAATCAAATAATGAAGCTTAGTCACAATATAAAAAATAAAACAATAAATATTTTAAGTCTACATATTGTTATTAATCTTAGTTAAAAATCGATTAAAAATTCGTGCAAGAACGTGATCAACGAAATCAATTCGATTTTTTCTGCGCCCCCTTAGGACAAGAGTCCCTAGGCCAGCCCATTGGATAATCACATTATGGAGTGACACTTTGTTAATATTCTCGTTTTCATAAACATGTGTCAATGTGTCAATAATAGTATTATAATATTATAGCAATAAATCTTTTGTTATTAAAAAAAGAACAGTAAATATAACTGCACATGAAACGGCATGATTTGCTTACAAATAACTGCTAACGTTGAGTTATAGCCTTATTTGAACATCTAAATGCCATTATTGAGTGTTTCACAGCTTGTGAGACTCCCGGTATCGTTGAAAAGTGTTACTAAAGTGAAAACTGGGAACTAGCTAAAGAGCCAAAGTGTTCATCTTTCTTCTTTTCCCACGCTAGTCAAAATATGTGTGATGTTTTCGCAATGGCTTTAGTACAACACAAAAGCATTTTAAGAGCAGTTGGGATCATGCTATCATTAAGCACAGTAGTGCTTAGTATAAGCAAAGAAAAAAATCATAATTTTAGTATAGACGATGTTATCATTACCACTTGAAGTTAGCTTTCTTACAGAAATCTTTTGTTCCTTTAAAAACCTTAAGTACAGAGTGAAACAGGGATTACAAGCCAACAATAGATGAATATTAGATTACTGTAACATAGGCAACACTCAATGCTTTGTAAACTATACAATTGTTATCTTCAGGGAGCCAACCCTTATAATATGTATGAAGTGAGGGAGTAAAAAAAATCAATACACATAATATTAAAGTTAATCACACACATTCGTAGAATAAACTAGCTTTCATTCAGGTGAAAAAAACGTCACAAAACAAGTAATAAAAAACATATTGAAAGTATAAAATGATGTACGGCTGGCAGTGCCAAAAAGAATGTAAACATGAATATGGGGACGGTACAGCTATAAATTTTTTTCACATGTTCTTTCGTTATTGTTAGTTTCTCGACATTAAATCCGAAGAAGTGAAGAACCAATGATGATTAATAATCTATTATAATCTAATAATCTCGCCAACTGTATGATATAATATCAATATCTGAAGTCATTCTACAAACGCAATGAAGAAACTGACAAAACTGATATGATATTAACAATATATATTGCCATTGAATTATTAAAATAAAACAAATGTTCACTTATCAACTTACGTCAATGAAATTGTTTGGAAGAAAAAAAAGAGAGGAAACAAGTAATATTTTTTAAAATAAAGTATGATGTAGGGCCGGCAATGCCAAAAACTCACAACTGGATTCTATATCGTGAAACTCAGCCATTAAGACACAATCATTAAATTCAAACTTCTTAACAATACGGACCCGGACTGCAAATCGTTCATAAACTAAGGCGAGTAATGCACGAAGCTTAGTCATACATCACTCCTGACCACAATTACATCATTTACCGTTATAAATATACATAGATATTTTTTTACCCAAACATTAAATTGATGGTTTGATTCGGCACCATGCAATGAATCGAAACTTGTCTGACATATGTGAAACATAATTGTTCTTGTTGGATAGCCTCTTGATCAGCTAAGGACTGCAGTTTCGAGCTACTTTAGTTTCCATCAACCTTGATAGGTCGTTGATGAAAAATATTATCCAACAGAACTTTATGCTCAAATTAGGTTTCAGAAACCACTGGTGCGTATTAGATTATTTTCCATCACTCATCAAGCTGGACTAATCAAGACATGATTCAAGATGAGTAAATACATTTGTTAGACAAATATGTTTCGATTAGTCGTGTGTAATTACTTAAAGCACTCATTATATAAACATACATGTTTCATGTTTAAAACATTAAACGACAGAGCAAACATAATTATTCTAACTCACGAATGGCGTGAGTTAATGTGCTGTACATCTAACTAGTGACACCAGAACGAAAAACAATATTTCGCGATATCAGTAAGAGAAAATGTCTTGGGGAAGAAATATAATAAATCAACACTCCATTACAAGTTGGCCCGGCATGGCCAGGTGGTTAGGGCGCTCGACTTGCAATCTGAGGGAAGCAATTTTTCATGTTGGCCTGGTTCGAATCCCCATCCCAGCTACACGAGGGCTATTTGCGCTAGCCGTCCCTAATTCAACAGTGTAATACTAGAGGGAAGGCAGCTGGTCATCACCACCCACTGCCAACTCTTGGGCTACTCTTTTACCAACGAATAGTGGGATTGACTGTCACTTATAACGTCTCCACGGCTGAAAGGGCAAGTATGTTTGGTTTGCGCGAAATTCAAAACAAACCAAACCATTACAAGTTCGAATCTTTCTGCGTTTTTTATAAATTCTATACACCAGGGAACTTCTTAAACCAAAGTAAAATGTAGAATATTAGTATCTCATAAGAGATGAACCTCAAGTGGTAAAAGCAAAGCGCAAAATAGTTTTGCCATGTTTCTTTCTCCAAAGTGCCTGAATGTACGGACACATATAAACCACATAAAAGATCTTGCACCACAGATATAAAGACGCTTATTACACAGGAGGACTGAAAAAGGTTGTGGCTAAAGAGTGTGGCAGGACCATAATTCATAGCAAATGAATAATACTTGCTTAAAATGTGCCACTGTTAGAAAGACTGAAAGAAGATTAAAGGATTGAGAATTACACTGTATGACTAAGACAGTAGATGCAATATAACTGAAGATATATTGAAGTAAACACTAAGGAAAAACGTGAAATATCTGATGCAAGAACAAAGAAATATTTCCAATGATGGTAAAAAACAATAATGAAAGATGCTTGGTGCGAGTAAGAAGAGTTATTACTGTTCGAACAATAAAAATGCAAATATTATAAAGAAATGTTTTTTGAAATAGTGGAAACAAAATAATCTTGCTTATATGGTATCACAACTGGTAGAAAATAATTCTTACGGCTACACACACACACACACACACGACAAAAAAAACAGTTTCTACAAAAATAGGTTAACACTTAGGAATGGTTATTGAAACACTGGAAAGTTAAATAGAAGTTGATTGTAACACGGAGCAGAACAGGATGATGAATAAATATGCTGACCAGAATAAAGTGCAGTTGTATAACGAAACAGTAAATCAAATGAAATATGCTATTTATTGGAACAGCAATACAATAGAACAGATATTTACTAACGCTATGAGCCATCAGTTGGAATATAGTTGATTGTTACAATAACGTTCAGGAGAACAGTAAAACTTTTAGGTATAGATATCGTGAGAAGCAGACAGCAAAAGAAACTATTTGCTGGGACAATATGTAGAGA